TAAATAAATAAATAAATAAATAAATAAATAAATAAATAAATAAATAAATAAAATAAAATAAATAAATAAAATAAATAAAATAAAATAAATAAAAAAATAAAATAAAAAAATAAAAAAAAAGGTAGAGAAAAGGACACAAAAAAAAAAAGGAGACAAAAAAGGAGACAGTAAAATTGCTTACCCCTGCGCCTCCTCCTCTGCCATGGGAACCTGCGCCATCTTTGTCTACAAGAAGGAGAAAAGAGACAATAAATAAAAGTAATAAATAAACAATAAAATAAATAAATAAATAAATAAAGATAAATAAATAAATAAATAAAGATAAATAAAATAAATAAATAAATAAATAAATAAATAAAATAAATAAATAAATAAATAAATAAATAAATAATTTACCTTGTAAATTAATATCTTTATGTTTTTTTTCGCTACCATAGGTAACAAAATCTTCATTAACCCTGAATCGTCTAGGTGGTGGTAGCTGCGCAGACACCTCAGGGTGTCTTAATGGATTAAATTTATCCCTTAAATAATTTAATAATTTTTTATCTACTAATTGATGAATAGGACCAGGAGCAGGGAGACAGATAGATAGTCCTATACTCCATAAGAAACGATGTATTAAGGATATTATACCACGTATAGAACGAAAGGAGACACTATAATCTGTATATCCTCCTGTATACATATATATACATATATACATATATATATATTATATATATACATATTTATTTATTTTATTTATTTATTTATTTATTTTATTTATTTATTTATTTATTTTATTTATTTATTTTATTTATTTATTTTTTTTTTTCTTAGTATGGTTAGGGTTAGGGTTAGATATACAAGAAAAACAGCAGCAACAGCAGCAGCAGCAACAGCAGCAGCAGCAACAGCCAGCAGCAGCAACAGCAGCAGAATGAATCTAAGTAAGTAATATAAATAAAAGAGTAATAATATAATAATATAAAAAGGAAGAAGGGGGAAAAAAGGGGGGGAAAAGGAAGAAAAAAGTACCAGGAAGGAGACGGAGACGAGGCTCGCCATAAGAAAGCCCCGTTACTTTCCTTCTTCTTTCGTGCTCTTCTTGTCTTTGTTCTAACCATTGCTTTATACTTGTACTAAATAAAAAAAGAGACACAAATAAATAAATAAATAAATAAATAAATAAATAAATAAATAAATAAATAATACAAGCAGCAGCAGCAGCAGCAGCAGCAGCAGCAGCAGACATACGCAATGTTATGGAAGAGAGAGGCCTTAAATCCCGCGAGTAAAACTTGCAGCATTGTCCCTGCATGCAACATAACATATACCTGCCAGCCCCAAAAATGCATGCATGCATGCATACCTTCAATTGCATGCATACATGCATGCATGCATGCATGCATGGATTCATGCACATACGCCCAATTGCTCGCACGCACGCTTGCACGCATGCATATATCCATACATGCATGCATATATGCATGCATAAATGCATGCATGCATGCAACTATGCATGTATGCATGCATGCATGCATGCATGCATGCAGTATTAACGTACCGACGCCAATCCAGAAGAGAATAACGAAGGAGAGGAGAGGCCAAGCAAAGACACTCGAGGCTACGCCAAGCATCTCCGTTGATGGCCAACCAGTTGATGAATAAAGGTATAAGACTGCATGCATGCATGCATGCATGCACACAGATTTATTTATTTATCTATGCATGCATGCGTGCGCTAATGAGTCTCCATTTGGGGCTTTATTATCTATACTATACATACATTATCTACGAAAAAGGCTATACATACAAATTTTTGGGGCTTTCTTCCTTTGTTTGCATGCATGCATGCATGCGTGCATGCACTCACCAGGAATATAAAGAAGAGTGCTGAGGAAGACGGTCGTAAAAATAAATGTCGGTGTCCATAGATGGGTCTCCAACAACCTGTACACCCCAAACCCTAAACCCTAAACCCTAAACCCTAAACCCTAAACCCTAATTCCCCTATAGACCCCATCTACTATCCTAAAACCCTCATCTGTATGATGGACAGCAGCAGCGCAGAGAAGCTACTACTATAAGCGCATGCATTAATGCATGCATGCATGCATTAATGCATGCATGCATGCATGCATGCATGCATGCATGGAGACGTACAGGCGTAAATTGCTTTGTATAATAAGACCAAAGAGGAGAATAGCCCCAAAGCAATAAAAGCTCATAGTAGGCCCACCAGGTAACGCACTTGAATCCATCCAGGCAGCCTGCATGCATGCAACCCTAAACCCTAAACCCTAAACCCTAAACCCTAAATTGACACAAGCACCTTCCTCAAGACAGCAGCGGCAACAGGGCTGCATGCATGGATATCTCTCGGACCAGTATGCATGCACGCATGTATGCATGCATGCATGCAATGGGGCTGCATGCAGAGGGAAGGGTATAGTATACCTGTAATATATAATAAGTAATAAGGGAGTAAACAATTCCCTCAACTACCCAAAAGCTAAAAGTAAATCCATTAAAAAATAATCGTCGTCTTCCCTGTATAACAAAAAAAAAAAAAAAAAAAAAAAAAAAAAAAAAAAAAAAAAAAAAATT